GCCATGGGAGCTCCAGGTCGTGCATGAAGAGGGGAGAAGATGAAAAATGAAATATCTCACCCACCTTTTATAGAAATCTCAAAAAGTGCCCCAAACGGGCCCCACCGAGTCCGAAAAAGTAAAATTTGAGCAAACGCGCTAAAATGGCAAAACTTTGTGAACAAAAAAGATTCAAAATGATAAATTATGAACAAGTGAAGAAACGAAGTTAAAAACCGAGTCCCGACCAGAAAGTTATGCCCAAAACAAGTTTAGCGCAAACCGGGGCCAGAAACCCTGAAACTGGAAAACATCGACCAGGAGGAAATTCCAAGAGTACACAACTTGACGAAATGTGAAAATGAATCCTGTACGAGGATCCAGGCTCAAAATAAGACATTTTGCAATAACTTTCATTAATTGCACAATGGCCCCTCCAAAAAGTGAAAACTGCACTTATGGCCCAGAATGAAAATATCTTCCAAAAATATTTTCATAAAAACCCCTGAAATAAAATATCTTCAAAAGATAATTATGAAAAACACCCCAAGAAAAGAAAATAATTTCAAAGAACTTTGCATCCATACCCCTATGGACACCGGGAGTAACCAGAGTACTTTCTTGAAAAAGTGAAGATATGTATTTCGTGGAAACCACGCAAGATCAAGATTTATGAAGTCAAAAACTAACTCCGAGCATGAAAAGTGAGGTTGTGCCAAAAACTGACAAACGGGAATAAGACAGAATAGGGAAAAAGACGAAATAGCGCATAGTATCGAAAAACGAAAAATGTGAAAATGACTCGGTCCTCAAAGGAAGTTGTCAATCCACGTGAAAGAGTCTCAGAAACTAATTTCAAGCACTCGAGATGACATTAAGCCACACGAAATAGAGCTCAGAAAAGAAAATTAAATGAAAAAAATTCATTCGTAAAATTTCAGGAAAAATAAAAGGAAGGCAAATGACCGAGTCGTTACATGTACAGTGGAAAAACCAACTGCCAGGATACTGGTCGACGTATGGAAGGCTACACGTCAACTGGTTAAATATGTACAGTAGAAATGCTCACTGCCAAGATACCGGTCAACCTGTGGGAAGCTACATGTCGACTGGTTCAGGTCATTCGGTCGACGTATAACATTTCACGTCAACTGGTTTTGGGTCATCCACACTCAATTGCTCACTGTCCAAAGAAAACCGAAATACACAACTTTGATAACTAACCACCTACACCACTACACTCACATACATATTTAAATACATTTCAACACCTAATATAATAACACCACCACATTGTTAACACAATTTACAACACGGTACTTAAAATACACTGAAGGATTTAGTGTGATTAAAACTTAATTACATTTCCCCAATGGCCATACACCAAAATGAATTTAAATATTTCACATGTTGCAAAATAATACAATTTTGAGTTAACTTCATACAAAATCAGGCCTAAATACAAAAGATAGCAAAAGAGACATTTTTCTGCTCCAGGCTAAGACTGCGGTGGATTGTAGTCTGCCATTCATAACTATATTTGTGAGACCCGTCTTCAACCACGTCATGGTCATGCCCAGAAAAATGGTAATAATGAGGTGAGCACAACGGCCCAGTAGGAAATGCCTAAAACACACTCATTAATGACCCAGTGAATCCAAACAAAGAATGGCATAAAAAAAGAGGGATCATATTTATTTTGGGAAAAAATATACCATCACATATAATCCACACCACTAATACAATGTTATGCAAGTCTATGAAATGAGATGTCTCTTCCCATTTCTAAAGCCTTTACCCAAATCAATTTCCTTTGTTTGCAAACCAAATTCCCCTTTTCTTGCCCGTGCTAATGCATGAATGCCACATACACTTCATTACCATAAAAACTCATAAGTTATACCACGAACTTAATAGCATGCCTTATCCATCAAATACTACCACAATTTTCATGTTCTCAACTACACAACCAAAACATGTTAACAAGTAAGGTATAATTTAAATTGGTAAGAAACTAGCACAATTACCACATAAGAACACCCAACTCATTTTTCATAGAAAAACTTCAACAACCATAACAAAAATTCAGAATTTTCTCATGTTATACTCACATCATTGGAGATAATTCACTAAAATCAAAGGTTTACGGTTTAAGAACCCCTACCTCAAGGAAGCAAGCCAAACAAGCCCTAAGCTTCCCAAAATTTCGAAATCCTTCCAAGCCCTAGCAAGATTGATATCAAATGGAAGCCCTCTCCAAATGGATCAACTCTCTCGTTTTGATTATCACAAAAAGCATAACTTAAATCTTCTAAAAATAGCTTGGAAGCATCATGCAATATAGATATATATAAATATAGAAAGAGAAAATAAAACTAGTGAGAGAGAGAGAGAGAAAGCCTCGGCCGAATTGAAGAGGAGAATTGGGTTGATTTTTATGAAATTAATTCCATAATCCTAAAAGTGCCACTTGTCAAAAGGTGTGTATGCTGCAACTTTTTGGTTAGTTACTCTTTTACCCATCTATAATCATTAAAACTTCCTCCATGTCCCAATAAATATCTTCTACAATGCAAGGATATAGGTGTATGCATAAATGTGTTAAAAAACCACAATGCCCTTCACTTAAATGAGAAAACCGGGAGAAGTTCCCGAGTCCGAAAATCGTTCGGGCTTCCGAAAAATTCTAAAAATGATACCGTCACTCCTAATTGACTCAAAATGATAAATAAATAAATAAATAAATAAATAAATAAATAAAATTCAAAACCCTCACCTCAAGGAAATGACCAAAACGACCATCGAGACCCGCGTGGCATGCGAAACAAGGTAAGGATTAAAATAATCTAGAAAAATCAAATAAATTCCCGAAAATTAAAAATAGGAAAAATCAGTAACATTACAATCTCTCCAACTTTAAAAGATTTCGTCCCCGAAATCAACCCACCTCACATGAAAAAGACAAAAGGACACAAAAACAGAGTACGTCTCTGAGTACCTCACGCAACACGCTACCTCGATAACCTCAACACGAAGAATCCCCGTCCCATATCACTCGCAACCCTGTGCTTGTGACCCAACGCAACCTCGATCGAACAATGACCACAACCACACTTGATCACATCACCCACAACAATTAACTGAACGAAAAAGGCACTACAGTGCCGAACAAAACTCTCTACCACCATCTATAAGCACACGAGGCACAAGCCCCCAACAAAACTCCGTGACTCCATTGAGTCCTGACCACTGAGAACCATTAGGATTGCTATCCTTCTAACCAGAACACACCACTAGTCGATACTAAATCCGACTTCAGTTAACTCACACAAAGACACGCATAACGAAAAGAATCCTTCAATCCACGACACTCAACCTAGGTTAAAACCAATCCGATACATGAAATCGCACTAACGCGGTCCACACAAGACATCCTATCAAAAAGCTATTGGATTCCCATGCACAGTAGGTCCAACCAGCAGCGCCTCACACAATCCGCGTTAAAAGCCCTAAGGCCCACAAAACAGTGGTTACAAAACCGTTCAACGAGCCAACACGCGAGCTCAACCTGTGATCCCAAATAAACTCTTAAAACCGTATCTGACAACTACTGCCTTCAAAACTACATCATAGCCTAACACCCACGACTAAAATCAAGAGAACCATCCAACCTATCAAATGTACCATCAGGTACCCGGGAAAATAACCCACCAGCATAGCTCAGGGATCCACTGATCCAACAACTGAAACTCCTTAGACACGTAGTCCCATACCGAGTATGCCACCATCCACGACAAGTCGCCTGAACACGTACAAAGAATATCACCAATCCCAAACGAGACTCACTCAAGATGGAATCGTACTACCACACATACACAACGTACAGCACCGCACTCCTACTGTCACTGAACATACAAAAATTAATGATCGTTGACCTTTGATCCGACATTATGCTAAGGAAAGACTGACTCAGAGAAATGGTTGGCCAGGCCATTCTCATCGTCCCTCTGACCTTAACACCAACGTCATTCTTGTCCTCAGGTCCAATCCTCTAGTACACCTACACACCAACTTCTACGTCTAACTCTAGACACACAGTCTACCCTCCTCAACACACGAATCAAGTCACAACTACCAGGCACTACTGTTAGCTCCGAGACCCTAAGAAAACATACACACCAGTAAACAAATCACGTCTCACATCGCATCAGTCATAACCTCTCAGAACAATTCCCACATAGCAAAGGACTTCACCTCCTACCATGGAGATAAGTCGGACGATCCAGAACAAACCCTCACTCAAAATCCTAACAAAGGAAGGGAACTCTAAAAAGTTCTTTCACCTGCTGACACGCACAACTCCTATGTGGAGATACAAAACTCACAGATGACAAAATCCTTGCTAGGACCAACATAAAAAGAAGGAAGATTAAGTCCTTCTACCGCAACAGAACAGAATACACACTTATCGATATCTCGCACATGATATGCTGAGAATGAGGAACTATACTGAGACGAACAACTCAATTTGCAATTCATACACCTAACATCCACACGTAATAAAGAACGGTGCCCCTTTCTAAAACACTAGGGCTAGACAACGAATTCTAAGACATCGCGTCTCATCATGCCCGAAGAAAAACCTTAACAAGTGAAATTCTAAACCTTCCATTCGTATAAACAACTAGGTAATGCTGACCACTACATCAATAACCTATAAAGTAACATCGTTAAAAATTCTTTTGTCATCAATCCATCATCAAAATCATTACATAATAGCTCAATTGCCTACAAAAAACACATCATTATCTAATAAAACTGTCTAGAATACTCATATAGTCTTACAAATACATCATTGTTTCATTACACAATAATCGCAACTGGTACATCATTACAACTTAAATCTCATAAAAAACTTCTTGATCTATATCCTGTCCCAAGGGCTCACACCAAGCATCATCAACATCACCTGGTCCGGAACCACACTACGGGATACGTCCACCATCTGGGCATAGATGAACCTGACATTGCACAAAGTGCACAAGCATCTGTCCAAGCTCACGGGTAGCCCCCGTTACCAGAACAACTGTGTGCAGGCATCTCCTGTCACACCCAAACTCGCAGGTATCCCCCGCTACAGAACTCGCAAGTATTCCCCGCTACAGAGTCACAGGTAACCCCCGTTACTGTACCAGACTCACAGGTATCCCCCGTTAACACGACACGATGCACTGACAACAACATGACAAAACACACATGTGACAATGCGACATGATTCCTAAATAACTATGCAACATAACTGACAAACTACAGTGCAACACGACTCACAGACAATAATGCAACACGACTCACAAGTGACCATGCAACACAACATAACTCATAGGTAGCCCCCGTTACAACACGACACAACTCACAGGTATCCCCCATTAACACGACACGATGCACTGACAACAACATGACAAAACACACATGTGACAATGCGACATGATTCCCAAATAACTATGCAACATAACTAACAAACTACCGTGCAACACGACTCACAGACAATAATGCAACACGACTCACAAGTGACCATACAACACAACATGACTCATAGGTAGCCCCCGTTACAACACGACACAACTCACAGGTATCCCCCGTTACATCACAGTCATAGGTAACCCTCGTTACATCCAGCACAACTGTGCACAGGCATCTGCCTAATCTCACAGGTATCCCCCGTTACATAAAAATCAATCGCAATAATATCTCATCTCCTCTATGGAAAATCCCTCTTCATGTGGCCTGACTGACCACACCGAAAACAAACTCCGAAACTAGGTCTATCAAAAGGACACCCTGCCTTGCGGTGTCCTAGCTGCTTACAGTGATAACACACCACACTCCACTTAGAAGATTATGAAGAAGCACCAACAATAGGAGTAGCACCTGCCGTCCGCTGCTCCCGAGAAAACAATGAAACATCCCTGTGCCTCTTCCTGTCCTGACTCCTAGAAGAAGTACCCACATTCGTACTTCATTCCCGAGAGCCCACAGTACCACTCCTTTCTTGCCAATCCTTAACTTCTGCTTCTACCATCAGTGCTCTCGTGACAGCTTCTGAATATTCCTTTAATCCCAAAAGTGTCACCCCTAATAGAACGATTTAGGCCATACACAAAACGCCATGTCTTCTCCTCCTCGTTCCCTAACACATCCATAGCGAAACGTGAGAGAGAAGTGAACTTATTCTCATACTCTATTACTGACATGTCACCTTGCTTGAGACTATCGAATTGCGTCCTCAATTCCCGTCTCTTAGTATACGGGAAATACTTTTCAAAGAAAAGACTCTTGAATGCATCCCAACTCATACTGTCAATATCATGCGCGTTTGTCATGGTCTTCCACCATGCTGCCGCATTACTAATAAACTTGTACGTAGTTAAGGTGATCTTCAACTGATCATCGGGCACGGCTATTGCCCTGAAATGCTTTTCAACTTCATCTAACCAATCGTCCGCTACCAACGGTTCTGGACCTCCCTCAAATGTTACTTTCATGAGTTTGTTAAATTGAAGCAGATATTCAAGATTCCGCTCCATCTCCGTCTCATATGGCTGAATAGCCGGTTGTGATACCACTTGAGGAATTGTGGTACTCGTTAATTTCTGAAAGGCTGAGGCTACAGCCCTAGCTACTAAAACTTCATCCTCCGATACTTGTGGATCATTATCCATCTCTCTATCTCGGCCCTATCCCATTGAAACCCTGTCTGGTTGGGATGGCCCTTCACCTGCTCGCTGTCCAACTTCATTCAGATCCATCACTTCATGTGGTCTTCAAACACGATTTTACAATGACAACCAAATGATCAAAACAAGGATATAACATAGCTCAATCCGGCCACGAGCTACAGTGCTCACACCAATCGTTCGATAAGATCTAAACATTCAAAAACGTAGAAGTGATCAAACCCCTCACTAACGTGGATCAAAACCTTCCGCAACTCAACATACAACACTGTCCCAAACACCCACACCCGTCAACAATGAAACCAATAAGTCATGCACATGTCCACTCCTTAGTGGATGAATGACCACAACGTGAACCTAAGCGTGCAACTACGTCCCAGAACAGGATCATAACTATCATACCCAACTACTTGTAATAAGAACTTGTGTAACATGCTATTAATAATACAAAACATTTAACAGTTAAGCACGTAGTCAACTAAGCATGCTTTCATCAACAGTAACAGTCAGCAATTAACCACATTACGAATCAAACATGTATCAAGTAAACTTAATCATATAATCAGTTACACATAAACATTTAACGTCATACAATTAGGCATGTTTTAAACAAATATAACCATTTCATTAATCATATAAATAATTTCACGTAAACATTTGGCAAATAGGCATGCTTTTACATTAATCAATCAACGACTTAATAACAATAAACACCTTATCATGTAGCATGCTTTATTTTATTCGTGAGTTTGTAAATTATAAAAATTAACTCGTATACAAGCATATAATAATTAATCATACTTTTGAACTAAACAAACTAAACAAGCAACAACAGCATAAGTGTGCAATCTTGTCAAATCCAACTCTAACCCCACTAAGTCAACCCTACCCTTCGCCTTAGGTTTTCGAACCTAAAGCTCTGATACCAATTTTGTAACAACCAAAATCCACTGGATCCGGACCATTAATCGGGTCCTTACCCGACCCAAAATCATCCAAGGGTAACACGGTCCTTTTACGTTAAATTTATATTTTTAGAGTCCAACAAGGACAATATGGTCATTTGTCACATTTCTAGTGGTTTAAGACTCCAAAGACATAATAGTCATTTACTTGTGTCGCGTAATAATTAAGGTAAAAATCCAGGGGCCAAACAGTCATTTCTGTAGTTAAAATATAATTAATGTATTTTATTTGGGTCATAAAGTAAATACTCACAACTTTAGATAGGTGGTAAGGAATAATTAGGGAAACTAACTAAAAAATGTATGTAACAAGAACCGGTCAACGTGTATATATCACACGTCAACTGGTTTGGGATGCGTACACTGGAAAAGCCCACTGCCAGGATACCGGTCGACGAATGGAAGGCTACACGTCGACTGGTTAAAGATGTACAGTAGAAATGCTCACTGCCAAGATATCGGTCGACCTGTGGGAAGCTACACTGGTTCAGTTCATTCGGTCGACGCATTTCACGTCGACTGGTTTTGGGTTATCCACACTCAATTGCTCACTCTCTAAAGAAAACCGAAATACACCAACTTTGATAACTAACCACCTACACCACTACACTCACGTATATATTTAAATACATTTCAACACCTAATACAATAACACCACCACATTGTTAACACAATTTACAACACGTTACTTAAAATACACTGAAGGATTTAGTGTGATTAAAACTTAATTACATTTCCCCAATGGCTATACACCAAAATAAATTTAAATATTTCACATGTTGCAAAATAATACAATTTTGAGTCAACACCATACAAAATCAAGCCTAAATACAAAAGATAGCAAAAGAGACATTCTTCTACTCCAGGCTAAGACTACGGTGGATTGTAGTCCGCCATTCATTACTATATTTGTGAGACCCTTCTTCAACCACGTCATGGTCATGCCCTAAAAAATGATAATAATGGGGTGAACACAACGGCCCAGTAGAAAGTGCCTAAAACGCATTCCTTAATGACCCCGTGAATCCAAACAAAGAATGGCATAAAGAAAGAGAGATCATATTTATTTTGGGAAAAAATATACCATCACATATAATCCACACATCACAAATGCAATGTTATGCAAGTCCATGAAATGAGATGTCTCTTCCCATTTCTAAAGCCTTTACCCAAATCAATTTCCTTTGTTTGCAAACCAAATTCCCCTTTTTCTTGCCCATGCTAATGCATGAATGCCACATACACTTCATTACCATAAAAACTCATAAGTTATACCACGAACTTAATAGCATGCCTTATCCATCAAATACTACCACAATTTTCATGTTCTCAACTACACAACCAAAACATGTTAACAAGTAAGGTATAATTTAAATTGGTAAGAAACTAGCACAATTACCACATAAGAACACACAACTCATTTTTCATAGAAAAACTTCAACAACCATAACAAAAATTCAGAATTTTCTCATGTTATACCCACATCATAGGAGATAATTCACTAAAATCAAAGGTTTACGGTTTAGGAACCCCTACCTCAAGGAAGCAAGCCAAACAAGCCCTACGCTTTCCAAAATTTCGAAATCCTTCCAAGCCCTAGCAAGATTGATATCAAATGGAAGCCCTCTCCAAGTGGATCAACTCTCTCCTTTTGATTATCACCAAAAACATAGCTTAAATCTTTTAAAAATGGCTTGGAAGCATCATGCAATATAGATAAATATAAATATAGAAAGAGAAAATAAAACTAGTGAGAGAGAGAGAGAGAAAGCCTCGGCTGAATTGAAGAGAAGGAGAATTGGGTTGATTTTTATGAAATTAATTCCATAATCCTAAGAGTGCCACTTGTCAAAAGGTGTGTGTTGCAATTTTTTGGTTAGTTACTCTTTTACCCATCTATAATCATTGAAACTTCCTCCATGTCCCAATAAATATCTTCTACAATGCAAGGATATAGGTGTATGCATAAATGTGTAAAAAGACCACAATGTCCTTCACTTAAATGAGAAAACCGGGAGAAGTTCCTGAGTCCGAAAATCGTTCGAGCTTCCGAAAAATTCTAAAAATGGTACCGTCACTCCCAATTGACTCAAAATGATAAAAAAATAAAATAAATTTTCAAAACCCTCGGCTTAAGGAAATGACCAAAACGACCCTCAAGACCAGCGTGGCACGCGAAACGAGGTAAGGATTAAAAGAATCCAGAAAAATCAAATAAATTTCCGAAAATAAAAAATAGGAAAAGTCGGTAACATTGCAATGAATGTCGCTTCCCATACTTAAAATCACTTCCATTTTTCACTTTTCAAACCGTTAATGTAACCCCTCAGCGAGGAGAGAAGGATTGGCTACTGTTCCTGACCTTTGGTACCCCCGCGGCATCATTTGGGGCCCAGATAACTCAACCACGCTAGGTCGATCTCCCTAGGTCCCTCTAGGCTACATTAACGCCACGGACCCTCGGTATTCCCTTGGCGTCCGGGTTTTCACAAAATTCTTTTTTTTCAATTTTTTTTCCCAACACTCCTTTTTTATTTCAAAACATTTCTTTCCCATTTTTCTTGCCCAATGCTATGCATGAATGTATCATGCCTTTCCATGCCATAATTCTTCACATATTCACATTTAAACCACATATCACACTTTAGAGAAATTTGTGTAATACTCGTTCTCAAATCAACCATTGAATAATTTTTTTATTAAAGTTGATGTGGTATGTTGTTATTGGAACACATGAGGGGTGAGTAAGATGAAGCTACTCACCGATGAGTAGCTAAGCACCAATGAGTAGCTAAGCATTATTCTTTATGTTTTTACCCACCAAACTTACGAAAAGTATCTCACGTGATGAAAAACCTAATAGAAAATATGATCCATCCCATCCTCACCACACTTCATAGAAAAGTATCCCCCAATCTTGATAGAAAAGTATGATTCATGTAACAAATTTATAACCGATTTTGTTCCGATCCTGCCCTTCGGAATTGCTGATGACAATCGAATGTATCTACTGCAAAAGCTTTAGAACAGCTCATGACTAACTTGGTTGTCATGTTAGTCAAGCATGTGTAGTTCTAAACTTCACTCCTACAACATTACCTGTGCAGCTACATCTGTTTTGGTTTTGTTAGCCTGAAATTCCTTTCCTTTACTGCAGTTTAATTTTATAATCTCTTTGTTTTTTTCTTTTTTTCTTTTTTTTTTTTTCAATGATAAACTATGCATTGGCACCTCACATTCGGGCAAATTATTATTTTCTATGTTTCATGTTTCAATTTTTGTCAAAACATGTGCACAAATAAGACATTAA